CGTTGTTCATCAATTTGCTCGAGCGGGCCCAGTAACGTCTCCATCAGGAGACTTGTTGTTACTGTGTTTGGCATATTGAATACGTCCCGGGTAGCTTGCCAAGCTCTGCCGTGCGGGCGAGATACTCTCAGTAGCTTGCCGGGCTCTCCAAGAGGGGTGGAGGAATCGAACTCGGGTCGGCCATGTTGGCCGCGTGCAAGGCAAATGCCCTACCGCTGTGCTATCGCTCCAGCAGAGACAGAGAAAGATGAAATATAGGGAGACTGAAGAGAAAGTGACTTAGTGAGACATTGAGTCTATTGATTGAAGTCAAAAATTACAAGGTATGGTGGGAGAGGGTTTGGACTTGGGCACTCCAGAATTCCCACATAGGCAGAGGTTGAGAACTAAGACACTGGGCTTAAAAGAGGAAGAATTAAAACCAAGTTTTGAAATACTGTAAGTAAGTAGAGCAGAGTTGATCATCAACTTTTGTGTAGAAATGATGGCCTTTTGAAATTCAAAGTATAGTAACTTTAAGCTAATATTAATAAAATGTAAAAGTCATCAAAAAGGGGGCTGAGTCGGAGTGATAGTACAGTGGGTAGAGTGTTTGCCTTGCAGCGGCCAACCTGGGTTCGATCCCCAGCATCCCATATCGTCCCCTGAGTACCACCAGGAGTAATTCCTGAGTACAGAGCTAGGAATAATCCTTAAACATCAGTGGGTGTCGTCCCCAAAATGGACTAGAGAGGTAATACAGTGGATAGGGGCACTTATCTTGCATGCAGCCAATTTGGGTTCTATACCCCATTGCATATGGTCAGCATTGCCAGAAATGACCCCTGAACACAGAGCCAGGAGTAAGCCCTGAGCACTGCTGGTGTGGTCCAGAAAACAAGCAAAAAGTCATCAAAATGGAAAGGTATTATGATTATATCCATAAACTCATCCCTCTTAGCTGCAGATATGATACATATTCTGGGGTTAGGAAAATATTGTTTCCACATCGAGTCCAGAAAATGTGTACATTCTAGCTCCTCAAAAGCATATATGTCTGTGTGTATACATATATATAATCCATAATTCTCTCTAGACATTTGAAAGCAGAACCAAATGAATCCTGTGGAGTTACTGATTGTATTCAGCAATAGGACCTTTAAGTTGCTTCAAAAGTTTTCTCTTTCAAGGCATTGTGTGGCAATCATGTTCGGTCTATATTCTACTTATGGCATGCATCTCCCATCCTGGGAGGATCCTCAGTTGGGGTAATATTTAAGAACAAAGGTCTGGAGGTTTGTCTACCCCAAGTTGAAGCTGTGTATCTTGGGCAATTTGCTTCTTTCTATGTCAGATTCTGTGTTGGATATTATTATTGATCTATTATGTATTTATGTATTTTTTATTAAAAACGAGAGCCATTATATTAAATGGGATTTTCACTGAAAAAAAAAGTTTTCTCTTTTAAAAAAATTTTTTTGTTTTGTTTTGGGGGGTTTTAATTGGCCACATGCAGTGGTGCTCAGGGGTTATTGTTGGCTCTGCATTCATGAGTGCTTGGAGGACCATATGGGATGCTGGAATCAAACACGGGTCAACTACGTGCAAGGCAAATGCCCTACACAGTACTAATGCTCTCCCCCCTCTGCAAAATTCTGATGGACTCTTGCTGACTGAATGCCATAGCTTTAGAATGCAGTGAGGTAAATGGAATTATTATTATTTTTTTAATGCAACTGCCAAGGGTAAGATTAGGTCAGATTGCTTTCTTAATCCTTATGTGTTGAAGAACTGAACAGATGTTTTGAGGAATGGAATTCCTCAAGAGACAGAAAAAACTGCTCTTTTTCTCCCAAGCCCCATTTGCCTTTTCCCTTTTTAACACTGCTCTCAAATTCTGCTTCCAGCCAGTTTTAGTGGCTGCTTTGTACTCTGTAGATTGCCTCAGTGCCACTGGCAGCCCTCCTTGTTCCTCTTGTCCCTTTCTCCCTCTTAATGAAGACAGAGCAGACTTTTCCACCCAGGAAAATGACATCAGGATTCCAGTAGAGGTGCCTCTTCTCTTGTTAGGCAGTACTCCACCTGCTGCTGTGACTGCCTCCTGGATCTTGTGACAGGGAGATAAAGCAACCTGGTGGATGGGGACACAGCTTTTGGAGTCCAACTGACCTGCTCTCAGGTCTTTGTGGCACTGCTAATTTACCTGCTTGAGATTGGAGTATATTTTTTTCCCTTCAGTCTTAAGTGTTCTCTGCACAGTGAATAATTTGGGGGCCAGAGAGATGGCTTAAGGGGCTAGAGTTCTTTGCACGTGGGAGAACTGGGTTCTATCCCCAGCACCACATGGTTCCCTAAGCACTTCCAGAAGAAGCCCACCCCATAAGTATGTGCAGACTTGCGTGCACACACAGACACACACAGATGCAAATAAAACAATTTTATTTCACCCCAGAATCACTTTGTGTGTGTTAAGTGCTTGGTGTAGGTAAAGATTTACTAATACAGGCTGTTGAAATAACTGAAACTATAGATAGCCTCAGTGACATTTTTGTTTGGCGGGAACGGTGGCAAGCCACAACCTACAAATCCATGGAGCAACTCCTAGATCTGTGCTGGGGGTGATTCCCAGCGTGCTAGAGGATCATGTGGTTCTGGTCATCAGACAGTGTCCAGCCAGATGCTGCAAGGCAAGCATCTTAACCTCTGTACTCTCTCTCTGGCCCCAGACAAAGTTTTATGACTTTCTTTGGTGGTCTTGTCTGCAAAATGGGACTGGTGCTATAGCTTATTACATTTTTTTAAAATTTATTTTTTGGTTTTTGGGTCACACCTGATGATGCATAGGGGTTACTCCTGGCTCATGCACTCAGGAATTACTCCTGGTGGTGCTCAGGGGACCATCCAGGATGCTGGGAACTGAACCTGGGTTGGCTACATGCAAGGCAAATGCCCTACCTACTGTGCTATCGCTCCAGCCCCAGCATGTTACTTTTAGCATGAAATGAGATTAACCTCTTCTTCACAGATGAAGCACTTTATAGTGTACAATAGTAAATAATGCTTTCTGTTCTATCCATATTCCTTGCCTAGGTTTACTTCCTGCTTATTCCTCTGCACCCCCCTGGAACAAGTCATTGGTGGGTAGGAGCTTTGAGGGGGGCTGTGAGTAGAACCCTGGGAGGTTCATTCTGTAATTCTGCTCCTTCACTACAGAAGGAGAATACTTTGGTTAGAGATTTGTCTGAGGTGGTTTCTTTTTTTTTTTTTTTTTTTTTTGGATTTTGTTTGGTCTTGGTGTATTCCACAGGGAAAAATAATTCAGAGGGAGTAAGTCTTCCTTCTGGGAACTTGCCGAATTCTCTAGGAAGCAGAGCTCTGAGCCATGGACTGGGGAAAGGGCAGCACATGAAATAAATGTGTGCTGGGAAGTGGGAAATCTGAGGCTCAGTTTCATTCTGACCTGCTCCAGCTCCTACAAGTTGAATTACAAACTCAATAAATAAAGTGATTTTAGAGGAGTAAGCCATGGTGACCTAGCCAAATGTGCACTACCTTCCATGAAACAAAAAATTGAAATGTAATGAAATTTGCTGTCTGTTCTATCCATATTCCTTGCCTAAGAATAAAGTTTATTTATTTATTTATTTATTTATTTTGGCTTTTTGGGTAATACTCTGTAATGCACAGAGGTTATTTCTGGTTCTGCACTCAAGAATTACTCCTGGTGGTGCTTGGGGGACCATATGGGATGCTGGGGATCAAACCCACGTTGGCCACATGCAAGACAAACACCCTACATGCTACACTATCACTGTCACTCTGGCCTCCCCAAAATATTTTTATGTGTCAGAACAACTATAAAACATTAGGAGAAAAGGCCAGTGGTCTAGATAGTCTCTCTTCAAATTGTTTTTCAAGTTTCCGGTTCTTGCTCTCTTTTTAGGGGACTGTAGGGTTGGGCCTCAAGTTGTTCCTGAGAATTGGTGCTTGGGAGACCATGTGTTGCTGGGGCGGGGGGTGGGGGTGCTTTCAAACACAGATTTCCTGCATGAACAAAGTATAAGTCTAGCCCAATCCTCTTGCTCTGTCTGAAAGGGGAAAAAATGTAGGAAATCAAAATACCTATGTGGTTAACACAAGAAATCAAACAGGGAGCAATGTTGACAGAGAACAGCTTGAGCCAGTTTGAGAGGTAAATGCATATGAGTATCTTAAATGGTTATGTAGATAACACTTTTAGTATATATAATCTATTAGCATAGTAAAAAGTATATAGTCTTAAATGTGAATTTCCTACTTTAATGGGCTATTCCATCAACTAAGCAACTACTGTGTCAGTTGAGCAAGTTTCTTCTGTACTGACAGAAGTGATGACTCCAGTATGTTGTGTTAACTCCTATAAGACTGGTCTGTCAACTTTGTTTCATAAGTCTGGTAATGTTAATAACTATGTTATCCACACTGTTACCAAAATAACCTGTTTCTGGCACCAGGGGTGTGTCTCCAGGGTAGATCATGCTTCCTTGAATGTGTGAGACCCTGGGTTATAGGCCTAAACCATACACACAATTAGTAATACCCTCTAGCCATTTCCAAAGGAATGTCTTCTTATGACCTCCTTTCATATTCTTAATCACATGACTTTTACTCTACTTTCTGAATATTGCATAGACATAATTGGAATTGTGGGTTGCTTTGATTTGACAGGAACTCAAAGTCAAGAAGGGTGGTGTGAGCCAGAGTTCAGATGCAGGGAGGGAAGAATGGAGTCAGGGAGGCTTGGTGAGACATCTGAAGGCCCATTTGAATGTTGAGACGCCTTGATATCCTGATATTAGGCACCTAGATCCAAACATAAGGACAAAGACATGTTCTTCTAAAGCTTGGTGACTTTGATCTTTTTTATGATTTCAGATTTCTAGTTAATTGTTGCTTTCTACTCAGATTTATAGTTGAGATTTTATTGCACAAATGCAGTAGCAACCCACAACCTGAAAAATCACTGACTCTTGTTTTTACAGGTGTTGGGGCGATGTTTCTTGACAGTAGTGCAAGTCCATTTTCAGTTTCTGACCCAAGCACTACAGAAAGTCCAGCCAGTGGCTCACTCTTGCTTTGCTGAAGTTGTTGTGCCAGAGAAAAAGAACAGCGGCAATGGCGGCGGCTTATCTGGCACGGGCCACACCCCTGAACTGGAGGAAGCTGTGCGATCATGGCGGGGTGCTGCTGAGGTACGTTACACTGGCTTCGGGATGATTACCCTGGGTTCAAGTAGGAGACACTCCAAGGGGCCTTTGACTGTTGTATCTCAAAGGAACTGTTTATTTAGAAATGTGAGTTTTGAGGTCTTTGGAAGAACCAATTTGTACCAGGCCTGTGTCAGGCCCCCAGGATGACAGTCTAAACTCACAGTCTGGGAGAGAGGAAGGGCTCACAAAAGCAGGGTTAAAGGATTGTAATAAAGATGTGTAGGATGGGCTGAAGCAATAGTCCAATGGGTAGGGCATTAGCCCTGCCTGCGGCCAACCTAGGTTCAATCCCTGCATGGTTCCCCAAACACTGCTAGGGCAGAGCCAGGAGTAACTCCTTAACATTGCCAGGGATGACCCCCTCCAAAGCAGAACAAAGGTGTGTGGAAACCCAGAGAAAGGGTGCTTCCTTCTGCTGGCAGCAGAACAGCAAATCTAGAAAGAGGAAGCAGGGAGTAACATGTCACATGTATATAGAAAATGTCACACAACTTATCTGTCAAATGAATCTTAACTTTTTTGCCACATTTCCTTCATACTTTGTATTAATAGGCAAATTCTATTGTTGATTCTGCTTTGTTCCTCTCCACTTACTCACACTCCTTCCTCTCTAGAGAGAAAACTACTTTTCAAGTTCAGAGTGTGTAGCTTCTGTGCACTTTCACATTTTTTGTTTTTCCTCCTTATGCATGTTATCCATAAATAATGAGATTGTTTTGCACAGTATGAATCATTGTATAATGGCATCATTCAGCTTCTGAAATATACTTTCTACTCCTACACAGAACAAGAGCATGCCTTCCTTCTCTTGTCAAAGTCACGTAATTTCCATGTCACCAGTTCCAGCGAACCCTTTGACTCCTTTTAACCGCTTTAGGCAAAATAGGCCCCAGAAATACTCTGTGCATCCCAGAACCAGGATTTCCTGAGGACCCTCTCACCTTGAGCCCTCCTCTCCATCTCCACTATTCTCTCAATTTAACTTAGGAGCAAATTTCTGAGGGCTCAGCTCTATTCTGAGGGCTTTAAAAAAAAAACTGCCAGTTTACAGGGGTCCATAAATGTCTGTGACCAGTCTATTTCTCCTGCGGGCCCCGAGCACTGTTAGCCACTCCTTCATTCACTTAGTTTCTAAGTGGTTCAACTTTGCTTTTCCCTACATCTGTTCTCTGAACCTTCTTTATGCTATCTAGCAGTGCTGTCCCCTATCAGTCACTCATGTAGGAAGCCTGAGACTGCTTTCAGCCTTTGTGTCATGTCTGCATCCAGTCTATAAAACAGGCCAGCAGTGGGGGCTGGAGCGATAATACAGCGGGTAGGGTATTTACGCTTCATGCGGCCCATCTAGGTTTGATCCCCGGCATTCCCTATGGTCCCCCAAGCACTGCCAGGAGTGAATCCTGAGTGCAGAGCCAGGAGTAACCCCTGAGCATTGCTGTGTGTGACCCAAAAATGCCAAAAAAAAAAAAAAAGACCAACAGAGGTCTCCAAAGTGTTGTCCCAGTGTCCCAGATCTGTCTTTTTTTGGTTTCCATGGCCACTATCATTACCATCATTTAGGACTGGATCAATAGTATGGCAGGTTGAGCAGTTGCCTTGCATGTGGCAACCCAGGTTCTATCCTTGGCACCAGATATGGTCTCCCAAGCACCATCAAGAGGAGTTCTGAGTGCAAAGCCAGGAATAAGCCCTGAGGACAACCGGGTGTGGTGCAAAGAACAAAACAAATAAATATAAAACCAAATAATATATTCAGATATTATGCACATATATGTGTTATATGTCACTGGTTTACACACATAGTTTATACACATAGGTACTTGTATATAAGTTACAGGTAAGCACGTCTTTTCCCAGGGTTTCTAAACTAAGGCAATTCTTTATTTTAGCTTTGCTTTCTCTGTAAGATGCTTGATTTTGACTTTTAAAATTTCTGGCAGCTCACTTTATAATACAGACAACCCAAAATGTTCAATTTATATTGCTACTTAGGTAGCATCTTGTTTTATTTTTCCCATTTTAATATTAATAGTACTAAGCATTCTTATTTACCTGCTCATCACGATTTATACTGTAGGCGACCTCTAGACTGAGAGACAAAGGATGTGATGGCCGACTGGCAGGAATTGAAGTCCAGCAGCTCTTCTGTTCTCAGAGTGCAGCAATTCCTGAGCACCAGCTGAAAGAGCTGAACATAAAAATCGACAGTGCTTTGCAGGTAAGGTTTTCAGAACTTGTACACTTAATCTCTGTGATAGAATGGAGGGAGTTAAAGCTGTGATGTTGAAGCAATTGGGAAAAATAATTAAATAGTAATTGGCCTGAATGATTTTAATAACTAAGAATGTTAAGTTTCTGTTTTCATTGAAGTGTCATGTTATAATCCACTGTATAATTTGATTCTTAAAGCAACTGGTTTTTTTGCAGGCATATAAAATAGCTCTGGAAAGCTTAGGCCACTGTGAATACGCAATGAAAGCTGGCTTCCATCTGAATCCAAAGGCGATTGAAGCCAGTTTGCAGGTATGGTTTCCTTTCTGGAAAGTTCTAGGAAGCTGCAACATGGCAAGTGTTTTCTTATCAGGTGAACCAGTGTCCTGACAGGTGCCTCTTCCCTCCATCCTAATCTTTTCCAGGGCTGTTGCAGCGAGGCTGAGGCCCAGCAGACAGGGCGGCGGCAGACCCCACCACAGCCCATGCAGTGCGAGCTCCCCACCGTCCCTGTGCAGATAGGACCGCACTTCCTTAAGGGAGTCTCCTTCAATGAGTCCGCCGCAGACAATCTGAAACTTAAAACGGTAGTGTTGTGGGTTTGAACTTGAAGACAGGGCCATGGATGTAGTTCAGCGCGCAAGAATACTTGCCTTGCTGAGGCAGGCCTTCCCTTTGAACCTTGGCTGCAGGCGGGGAAATGGTGGGGAGGGACAGAAAGTAGATTTCTCTGCTTCATGATATAGATTAAAAAACTGCACTGAAGTCAAGGCAAGAAGCATTAGCCTTCTTGTAAACTAGTATATAAAAGTAGATTATACTGATGTTTTATTGAGATATTTGTCAAATTTGTTTCTTTTCATCACTTTATTCAAATGTTTAACATAAAGCTCTTTTTTGGAGGGGCGCTCATTAGAGTGCTTTGAACTTCAAGAGGTGGGGGTGGAGGCGGCTCTGCAGTGCCAGGGATCTTGCACATGCAGAGCTTGTTTTCTTCCATTCAAACCACATCTATGGCCATTAAGATAAAATTAACAATATTATTTATAATGCCTGAATGGAATTTTGTGAACTGAGTGAGAAGAAAAATCTTGGGAGTCCAGAGAGATTGTACAGCGGGTAGGACATTTGCTTTGCATGTAGCCAACTTGGGTTCAATCCCTGACATTCCATATGGTTCTCCAAGCACTGCCAGGACTAATTTCTGAGTACAGATCAGAGCCAGGAGTAATCTTTGAGCATCATTTGGTGTGGCCTGACTTTATGTGAACCAACTAATATTATAGGTAAATTATAAATATTATAATTTAATATTTAAAATATAAATGTTCTAAATTATTTTCAATGATCTTCCTATGATTTAAGTGCTAAATCAGGTATGCTATTCCAAGTGGCAGCGTGACAAAAAAGAAGGAAGAGAAATCTTGATATAATATCTTTGCCAGACATTGTTTCAGGTGCTTCATATGCATTTTCTCAATCCACACAGTGAGCATTACTACCTTTCTCTGTTTGTGACAAGTAGGGAAACTAAGAACCAGGGTCTTACAGCTTGAAAATAATAGAGCTGTGATTTGAACTAATGCATTTGGTTTCAAGAGTCAAATGCCTGGCAATTTGGCCTTCCAAAATAAAGATTTGTTGTTGTTGTTGTTTTCTGTGTAGGACATCAGACTCAAAGCCTCATACATGAATATATTCTTTTTTTATTTTGGGGGGAGGGAGTGAGGGGAACATTTGAATCACTCCCAGCGATGCTCAGGGGCCACTCCTAGCTCTGCACTCAGGAATTACTCCTGGTGATGCGTGGTTGCCAGGGATAGAACCTGCATTGGCCGCATGTAAGTCAAATGCGCTACTCATAGTACTACTGCTCCAGCCCCAAAAATGTTTATTTCTATCATCGAACCATATCCCACCCAAAACTGAGGTTTTGATCAGTATTTGTTTTTACTAAATGGTTTTGTTTCCTTACTTAGAGGAATTCAGAATTTCAAAATACCTCAGACAATTCACGTCAATAGATTGCTAAGTAGCACTGTAGCACTGTCCTCCCATTGTTTATAGATTTGCTCAAGCAGGCACCAGTAACCTCTCAATTGTGAGACTTATTGTTACTGTTTTTGGCTAAGTAATGCTAATATTTTGTACTAGTACAAAAAGTAAATGTATATATATGTAAATGTGTATTCAGAGTCTGGAACATTAGTATAGTGGGTAGGGTATTTGCCTGGAATGCAATAGACCCAGGTTTGATCCCCAGCACCCTATACCCTGAACACTGCCAGGTGTGGCCCAAAACAAACAACAAACACACACATCTATATATAGCCTGTAGAAAACTGAAAAACCTCCAGGGCTGTCTGATGATAATTATAGAAAAATTTAAAATGCTGTGAATTTAAAAAGCTCTTATGCAAACAGCTTTTCTTTTGATGACTGTTACATACCCGTAAATGCATTTCTCCAAATTTCAGAGCCCAGCATGACTTTTCCTTGAGGTGTGAGTTCTTTTCTTCTCAATCTACAGCATACGATGTTGCAACTGATCAAGGAGACAGGCTGTTACAATGGACTCACGCCTAGAGATGATCTTCCTGTGACAGAAGTGTTGAATCAGGTGTGCCCTTCCACATGGCGGGGTGCCTGCAAGACTGCTGTGCAACTGCTATTTGGCCAGGCTGGACTGGTGAGTGAGGGACACAAGAGAGACATTTCAAGACTATGTGGACAAATATGTGAAAATATTGAATGATTTAAAAAGTCTAAAAAAATAAAAAGTCTTCAGTTCTAGAGTCAATACTGGATGAAAACCAAGTAAAGGAAAAAGAGTACCAGTAAAGTTTTTTTGTTTGGGGGGCCAGAGAGATAGTGCAGCAGGTAAGACACATGCTTGCATGTGGCCAATCTGGGTTTGATCATAGCACCACTTCCTGAGCACAGAATCATGAGTAAGCCCTGACCACCTGACCATTGGCAGGTGTGGCAAAAACTAACAAAAAATAAGTTAAAAAAAATTACAGCTCAGCTTTTCCTTTGGCTCTGCCGACCCAAATAACCTTGATCCCAATTTCTAGAATTAGATGGCTGCCTTTTGAAAAGATAGAGCATTTCAATCAGAGATTAAAGGAAGCCAGCTAGATATTTAAAAATTTAAATAGCTTTTTCTTTGTCTGTTTCCTTCCTTGTTTATGAAAGAATCTGTTGGGAAGGTACTGTCGTTTTAGTTCAGCTGATGAGGCCTCAGGGGACCCAGGTAAGGGTGGTGCTGTCAGATTGGCCTATCCACAGGTCTGTCCCCAGTGGTGAGTTATCCTTTCTTCAGGAGCTGTTCCTTAATGTAGGAACCCTCAAAGATCAAGCCTCCCTTCAGAATTATTTTTGTGTGTATGCGGGGTTTTTGTTACTGTTCTTATTTGGGGGCCACAACTGTCAGTGCCTAGTGGCTACTCCCAGCTTGGTGCTCAGGAGTCATTCCTGACAGTGCAGGGGTGGAGGGCAGGGGGAAGACCTCAAGGTGGTGTGAATCAGTCTCTGGCCTCCCGCATGTAAAGGGTGCACTCAGTTCATTGGACCCTGGGTCTCAGTTCTGCTAAAGTATGGAAGAGCCTATGACTTATGTCCTAAAGACCATTTTTCTAGAATTAGATCTATGATGACAGGTTCACCAGAGGCTATCAAAAAATGCAGAAGGATGCACAGGCTATTTTGAAAAAAACAGGCTTAACAAAAAACAAAGCCATGGTATTCACAGAACAGAAACTTCTTCCTATTTCCCTACCTCTTTATTCTAGGGCACCTTTGTGTCTGAGGACAAAGAGCCTTTAGAGTAGGGCTCTGGGGATGGGAGGAGAGAGGAAACACCTGCCTGGCCCAACAATGGCCAGTCCACGACAGGAAGTCTCTTCCAGAGGTCATTGTAGACCAGCTGTGGGAACTCTGTTTACAAGAGTGGAAATGGGCTCCATTAGAGACTGAATGTGGAATCATGATAAACAACTGTAAATTCAGAAAGCTTTCCTCTTGAAAAGATACTGATTTGCTTTTGAGATACTCTTTTTTGTTTTTCATATTTTCTTTATAAAAATATTTTTATTTCAGATATTTAAAAATACATTCATTACTTTGTCAACCTCTTTAAATTATACAGGACACAGTGGTCACCGATTTGATTTTATTATTAAAAACTCTAAATAAAAGGGAATCATTGAGAGAAGAGTTGGTTCTGGGACCGGATGATTGATTGTATAGTGGGTAAGACACTTGCATTGAATGTAGCCAACCTTGATTTGATTCCCTATACCACACACGGTCCTCAGAGTACCGCCAGGAGTGATCCCTGAGAACAGAGCCAGGAGTAAGCCCTGAGGACTACCAGGTGTGACCCAAACACCAAGAAAAAAAAAATTTAAAAAAACAACAGCAACAGAGTAAGGGTTGGTTCTTCATCCTCCTAAAGTAATTGGTTAAAATTACCTTAAAAAAAAACTTCCCTGAGTCTAGAGAGATAGCTCAGGGGTCAGGAGCATTTACTTTGCATGTAAAAGGACCCAAGTTTGATCCCCATTACCACATGCCTTCCACATGCCTCCCACACACTGGCCACTCTGTTCTTTTTAGCCCCAGCACAGCAGGGCCCAAGCATTGAGCTATCTGACTTGCTGACTATTTTTTTTTCATTTTCTATAATTTTATTTATTGAATCACCGTGAGAGCAGTTACAAAGCTTTCGGATCTAAGTCTCGGTCATACAATAAAACACCCATAACCTTCACCAGTGTCCATTCTCCACCCCCAACAACCCTAGTATACCCCCATCCCACACCCTTCCCCTACCTGTGGGGGCAGATGATTTCCACATTACTCTCTCTCTACTTTGATCACATTCACTATTTTGACACCAGACCCACCGTTATTATTTGAGATTTTACCCCAACACTCAGATCGGCTAAAAAGGTAACTGTAGACAATTTCTTTTCTATTGCTGGTTATGAATAACATATGATGTCACGTGGCTGTAGTAGTGGCCGCGTGATTTTGAAATTCTGAAATTTTAACACTTAAATCTGGAGGGATTTCTGCCCAAACCTGCTGGGTTCCGAGATTTGCTCCTGAGTCTCTGGGATCACAGTCATTTAGCAGCTTGATCAGGAGCCAGAAAGGCTGTTCGTGGGCGATGACTTGGGGTCTCGTTGGGGTGGGGAGGACAGGACCGGCTCCACCCCCATCCCATGAGGCCCAAAATATCTCGTCACTGCGGCCCAAACCGGACTGTCCATGGCCTCTGGAGGATGACGGCCACTGAGCCGCCAGGGGGAAACAGGCAGAGGGACAACACCCTTTCCCCCCTGTGGTGGCCTGGCGACAGTAACCTACTGTGTGGTCCGGACGCATTTCTGCCAAAAGCTGCTGGGTTTCAAGATTCGTTTGAGTCTCTGGGATCATGGCCATTAAGCAGCTTGTTCAGGATCCAGAGAGGCTGTTCGTGGGCAATGACTTGGGGTCTCCTTGGGACAGGGAGGACAAGACCGGCTCTACCCCCATCCCATGAGGCCCAACAAGTTTGTCACTGCCGGCCCAAGCCTGACTGTCCCATGGTCTCTGGAGGATGATGGCCACCGAGCCTCCAAGGGGGAGCAGACGGAGTGACAACACCCTTTCCCCACTGGGTTGGCCTGGCGACAGTAACCTACTGTGGGATCTGGACGCATTTCAGCCAAAAGCCACTGGGTTTCGAGATTTGTTTCTGAGTCTCTGGGATCATGGCCTTTGAGCAGCTTGATCAGGTGCCAGAGAGACCATTCATGGGTGATGACTTGGGGTCTCGTTGGGGTGGGGAGGACAGGACCGGCTCCACCCCCACCCTGTGAGGTCCTGCGTGTCTCATCACTGCAGGCCCAAACCTGACTGTCCAGTGGCCTCTGGAGGATGGCGGCCAGTGGGTTGCCGGGGGAAACAGGCCAAGGCACGAAACCTATTCCCATCTAAGTTGGCCCCGCACCGGTAACCTACCTCAGGGACCGGACGCATTTCTGCCAAAAGCCGCTGGGTTTTGAGATTTGTTTCTGAGTCTCTGGGATCATGGCCATTAAGCAGTTCAATCAGGAACCAGAGAGGCCATGCCTCCAAGTATATAGCTGAGCCTGAGCTGGTTTGTGGGTGTGTTTCCCACATACCTAACTTTTGGCCATTTACTTTCTTGGTAAACTTGGCCCCAAGTGTTTGGGGTCTGGCCAAAGGCACAGCAGCAATTTTGGGGTATCTGGAAGTCTGAAGGCACCATCAGGCTGCTGATGCACTCGCCTCACAAGTACAGACTGACCTGCTGGCGACACCATACCCCCTGACTTGCTGACTATTATCAGGAGTGGTCCTCCGCACTTCTTGGGAGGCTCTCCCCTCTGAAGAAGAATGAAGCTGCACTTACTTACTAGCTGATCATTACAAATGGGATTTTCTGAAGGATTGGTTTAACTTTCAGAGGCATTTTTATTTTATTCAAATACGTCAAGTAAAAAATACTAAGATAAAGTAATTCCTAGTTAACATATTTATAGTTTGTAAAAATGTATGCTGTAAAAATGTATGCCAAATCTTGGTACATTCCATGCCAGAATTTAGTCTCTTGTCTTTTGAAGTCTGTATTCAGTCATCTTTATTACTTTCTGTTGTCCTCACAGGCCTCCTGACTGCCTTGCTGGGGAGAGCAGCTCTTGCCAGAGGCACTTAGCATCAGTATGCTCTTGTATCTTGTGTGATCTATCTCGTCTCTGAAAGCTGTGTTTTGTTTGTCTCTCTCAGGTGGTTGTCGACACAGCACAGATTGAAAATAAAGAGGCCTATGCCCCCCAAATCAGTTTAGAAGGCTCCAGAATTGTGGTTCAAGTCCCATCCACATGGTAACTAACAGAAACCTAAGCTTTGACTGAATTTTGTACATATTTGAAAAAGATTGTTTGGACCAAATTACATGCTTGTTACGGGCTGGACAGTGTGCATGTGTTAGTGGCATGTGTCATGATGATTGTTCTGCCAAGATGCCTGATAAATAGTCTCATTAACTATTTTATACAATAAAGTAGAAAAATGTTACATGTTAATAGATCATGATAGTATTTCCTTCCTCCCTTTCTCCCTCCCTCCCTCTCTCCCTTCCTCCCTTCCTCCTTTCCTTCCTCCCTCCCTTCCTCCCTTCTTCCCTTTCTCCCTCCCTTTCTTGTTTCTCTGTTTGGGGACTACACCTGGCAGTGCTTAGGAGTTACTCTTGGCTCTACACTCAGGAATTATTCCTGGCAGTGCTCAAGGGATCATATGTAATGCTGGGGATCGAGCCCAAGTTGGTTGCATGCAAGGCAAGCACTCAACCCACTTCACTATCTCTCCATCCCCTGAAAATATTTTCCTTGTTAAGGAATTTATAACATTGTTTTTATATAGATAAATATATTTTAATAATCATGAATTACAGAATTACAAAGTGATTCATTATTTTCAGACATAAAAGGTCCTAATTCCTTCACCATGTTCTGTCCTCTCCACCATTGTCCTAGTGTTCCCTTCCCTAATTTATCCCCCACCTCCAATTCAATGGCAAGTTTCCTGCTGAAGAACAATTCTCTTGCTATTCCTTTCTATTGCCAATTGAGCTTTGTTATTCCCTTAAGAAGTTTCTTCACATCTCACATGTGTCTGTCCCTCTCCTTCTAATTAAATTCACTCAATGTGCTATTCTCCAGATCTATCCACATAGCTACAAATTGTATGACTTTTTTTACTGTCAAGTAGTAATCCATTATGCATTATATACTAAATTTCTTTATCCAGTCATCTGTTCTTGGGTACTTGGGTTGATTCCAAATTTTGGCTATTATGAATAGTACTACAATGAATATAGGAGTGTAGGTGTCTTTTCTGGATTGTGCTTTTGAACACTTGAGGTGCATTCCAAGGAGTGGGATTGCTGTGAATTGCTGACTCGTATAGAGTTCAATTGCTAGTCTTTTGAACAGTAACCATATCGACTTCCAAAAAGGCTGGATCAGTCAATATTCCCACCAACATCATAACCTTTTCTTGTTATTTTTGTTTTGGTTTTGGTTTTGGGGTCACACCTGGTGGTGTCCAGAGCTTACTCCTGGCTGTGTGCTCAGGGATCATTTCTGGCAGGAGTCAAGGGGACCATACGTGCTTAAGATCAAACCTAGGTCGGCCATATACAAGACAAAAATATGCTTCCCACCTGCAATAGTCTCTCCAACCCCATTTCACAGCTTTTTAAATGTATGTCATTTTCTTTAAGACATCTTCGTATTTTTCTAAAACTGAGAACAATGTCTTTTTCTTTTTTTGTTGGTTATTTGTTTGTTTGTTTTCATCTTGGGCAATGCCTGGATCTCCACTCAGGAATCACTTCTGGCAATGCTTGGGAGACCATATGGAATATGGGGATCTAACCTGGGTTGACCAAGTGCAAGGCAAGTGCCTTACCCGCTCTCTTTTTCTTTTTTTTTTTTCCGCCCTCTTTATCTTTTTTCATCTGTTCCAACAACCTTAATGATCTTGAACTCATTACACATACAACCAGTGTCACTGCAAATGGCCAGACAGCTCAGTGGGCAAAGTTGCATCCTTTGATCCCTGGTTTGATCCCCAAAATGGTATTTGGTCCCCTAAATACCTCCAGGAATCATCAAACACCTGGCAGGGAGTAGTCCTTGAGCACTTCCAGGTGAGGCCCAAAACAAAACCAAAAATATTTTATCACATTTGTAAATTTATAGGTAAAGGTAAAGGCCCGGCAAGCTACCGAGAGTATTTGATATGCCAGACACAGTAACAACAAAGTCTCCAATGGAAACGTTACTGGGCCCGCTCGAGCAAATCGACGATCAACGGGAGGGCCTTTACCTTTGTAAATTTATAATCTGTTATTTTTCCCTATTGTTGTGGGGCCACATTTAGGGCCACACTGGAGAGCCATGTGCTGCTAACAGTCACATCACACACCTTGTAAGGAATGTTCTACCACTTGAGCCACATCCTAACCCAAGTATTCTTTTTATTAAAAAAAAATTTGGGGGAAAAACATTTTTGTTTCGTATATTCAGAGATCTCCTCAGAGAATATCAGAGCCACCAGCTTTACCCAGCAGTACTCTTGAATCCCTATAGTACTGGGGATCAGACTTGGGACCCAGACCCAGACCCTGTGCATTGCCAGGCATGTGCTCCAGCCCTTCGGCCTATTCTAGCCTTTAATGCTTTTTTAAATTAATTTTATTGGGGGAGGAGATGCCTCCCAAGGAGTGCTCAGGGATCCTGAGGCCTACTCTTAGTGATAATTGTCCAACCGGGCTGTATAGTTCAGTGCAGGGGCCCAGCAGTATGGCACTGCTCAGACCCAGAGATGCTGGGGATTCCAACAGGGTCACATCCTGGGGTGTCAGTGGACCATACTGTGCTGGGGATTGGACTCAGGGCCTCAAGTACAAGGTATGTGTATGGCCCTGATCTCCGCCCTGGTGCTGGTGGTGGTGGTTTTTGGTTTGGATTGTTTGGGGGATTTTTTGAGGAGTTTTATTCTTGTGGTTGTTGTTTGTGCCACATATAAAAGTGCGTAGAGGCTACTCATGGCTCTGTTCTTGGAAATTGCTCCTAGTGGTGCTCAGGAAACAGCCATCTCTCCAGTCCACCATTTAATCACTTTTAATGTATTAAAAACAAAAAATTCTATGAATCAGCTCAAAAATGGGCAAGACCCATGAATAAGAATGAAGAAAATGTGTTACACCTCACCAAGTTATAGTAAATGATTTTTTAAAAAGCTTGATAATGTTGTTTTGCTCAACATGTTGTTAAATTGTCTTAGAATAGTAACACAAGTTTAGGCCAGGCAAAAATATAATAAAACAATAAATCAGAGACTTTTTGGAGGGCCTTACTTTAAACATAAAAAAACAAGTATGACCTTAACAGTTATATAATTCACCACCAGAGATTTGGGGCCAGAGTGATAGTACAGTGGGGTTGGGCATTTGCCTTGTACACAGCATCCCATATGGTCCCCCAGGCACCAACAGGAGTAATTCCTGAGTGCAGAGCCAGGAGTAACCCCTGAGCATTGCCAGGAGTGACCCAAAATAACAAACAAATAAACAAAAACCCAAAGCCCAGCAGTTTATCCGTGTGGTGTACATACAGATTCAGCTAAAGGGATCACCATTACAGTTTGATTAGTAAACAGCGAAACTGAGCGTATATCTGGGGCCAGGTAACATTACAGTGGGTAGAGCGCCTGCCTTGCATGCACTCAACCCAGGTTCAATTCTCAGAACCCCATATGGTCCCCTGAGCACTACCAGGAGTGATCCCTGAGTGCAGAGTCAGGAGTAACTCCTGAGGGCTGTAAGGTATGGTCCCCAAACCAAGAACTAAATACAAAATAAGCATATATCCCCCAAAATTCATTATTATAATTGGAATAAATACTTACATCAAAAGTATTTTTAATATTTAAGTGGGAAATTAGAGAATAAGAAACAGTGGCATATTGGTGCCTATGTACTAGAGTGGGTAATATATTCGAATTATATTTAAATCATTTTTCTTTAAAAGGACACACTTTGCCTTACACTTTTGTGAATCTGCCAAAAATTTAAAAATATGTTGCTACATCACATAGGGGTTAGATGTTCACTCTATGTCCAGAAACTGCCAAGGATCCCCTCATCCCCAGCCTGCCACCAAAAGTTTAATCTGACTTGAGATGTTATATGCTGAACACTGAACACTGTCTTCCCGTTGTTCATCGATTTGCTCGAGCAGGCCCAGTAACGTCTCCATTTTTTTGAGACTTGTTGTTACTGTATTTGGCATATTGAACACGTCACGGGTAGCTTGCCGGGCTCTGCCGTGTGGGCGAGATATTCTTGGTAGCTTGCTGGGCTCTCCAAGAGGGGCGGAGGAATCGAACCCAGCTCGGCCGGGCTGGCTGCGTGCAAGGCAAATGCCTTACTGCTATCTGTTGCTCCAGCCCATGTTATATGCTATTCTTTCTAAAATAAATGATATATGTGTGTATTTTGTGATTTCTATCTAACAGTTAAAATCTGTGTAAGATTTTTGTGTTTCTGAAAATTTGGGGGGCAGAAATTTTGGAGCAGTGCTCAGGAGCTACTCCAAGCTCAGTGCTTATGAGCAATCCATGCAGTACCAGCATTCAAACCCAGGCCTTCTGCATGCAAAACAGGTAGATAGCCAATTAAGGTCTCTCTCTACTCCTGTTTCTGAAAATTTAGTTTATTTTTAAACTCAGGTTCTTATGAAAAATAACACATTCAACCAAGATTCTTGTAAAACAACAGTTTGAACTTTGGGTGAACAACATACCTAGTCTTACAGCAGGTAGGGCACTTGCCCTGCAGGTTGCTGGCCCAGGTTCACAGATGGTCCCTGGAGCCCTACTAAGAGTGGTCCCTGAGCACAAAGCCAGGTGTAGCCCAAAAAACAGAACCAAGTAAATAAACAAGCAGCTAGTATTAGATAACCAGTTTAATTCCACAACATTTTTTTTTTGTAAATTTTGTTTTTCACTTTTTTAAATGAAACACCGTGAGATACAATTACAGACTTACACACTTTCCTGATTACATTTCAGTCATATAATGGTCGAGTACCCATCCCTCCACCAGTGCCCATTCTTCACCACCAATGTTCCCAATATCCCTCCTGCCACCCTCAGCCCTTTTCCCCCACCCCATCCCTCAGCCCGCCTCTGTGGCAGGCACATTCCCTTTTACTCTCTCTCTCCTTTTTAATTCCAAAACTTTCTGTCTGGTTGATTTCCTTTAACTCATTGTTCACCGGTAAAGACCTTTCTGAACTCTGAGTCTACAGACACTCCCTCTGCTGGTTGTTTTGGGTCAAAATAGAATTCCCTTTTTCAAATAGTTTGATTCAAATTACAAAATACGTGCTTACTGAGAACTCAAATAGAAACGACTCGCTTTCAGAAAAATGAAGTTGCTAGCATAGAAAGTCAAGAATTTATTCTGAAAAAAAAAACTTTATTCTGTGATCTTTGCTTAAAGAGAAAATGTGGTTATAAAAACAGTTTAGAGAGCAGGGAAAGATAGTACAGGGATTAAAGCATTACTTTTCATGCAGAAAACCACAGCTCAAAACTCACTTATGATCCCCTGAGCACAGACTTTAGAGTGATTCCTGAATGTAGAGTTAAGAGTAAACCCTGAATACCCTGAACAGAGTGGCCAGAGTGAAGCTTTTGAGGGAGGAGGATGGACCACTTCTGACATATGCTCAAATGGTGCTTAGGGAACTATGTGGTGCTAGGGAATAAACCGGGCCTCCCACATGCAAAGCATGTGATCCAACATCAGACCATCTCTTCAGCCTCCAAAAGTTTAATGAGGTAAAACTTTTAACTTATTTTTAAATAATAATTTGGGCCTTGGAAGAGGTTCAAAGGGCTGTAGTTCATGCTTTGCACTGAGGCTCAACCCCTGGTATTGCATGGTCCCCTGAGTACTCCAGGTAGGTCCAAAATACAAACCAAAACATTTTGCTTATGAATGAAGCTTTGTTAGGACGATAGCACATGTCTCATGTATGAGGTCCTGGGATTGATACCTAATTCCACAGTACAGAAATTTATCACATAATTTGCTTTTAGCACTGTAGCACCGTCCTCCTGTTGTTCATCGATTTGCTCGAGCAGGCACCAGTAATGTCTCCATTGTGAGACTTGTTACTGTTTTTTGGCATATCGAATACATCATGGGTAGCTTGCCAGGCTTTGCCATGCTGGCGGGGTACTCTCGGTAGCTCTCCGAGACGGGCGGAGGAATCAAACCTAGGTCAGCTGAGTGCAAGGCAAACGCCCTGCCCGCTGTGCTATCAAGTGTCTAACTGTCAAGTATGTTTTTTTTACCTCCAGAGTAGTACTTTTATTTTAAGCTGTCATATTTAGGTTGTCGTTCTTCCACCCCACCCCCGACCCCTTCCCTCAGCAAATGCTGAATACTGCAACTAACAAGCACTGTCTGGACTCTGGTTTTTGTTTGGGGATTTTGTTGTTTGTTTTGAGGGAAGGGGAGTTGATTGCTTTTGAGCCACACCCAGTGATGCTCAAGAGCTACTCCTGCCTCTCTGCTCAGGAGTATTGCCTGGCAGTGCTCCAAGGAGACCATATGTGGAATCAGAGTTTCAGAACAAGGTCATAGCCACCACATGAAAGGCAAGTGCCTCACCTCCTGTACTATCTGTCTGGCCCAATTTTGGAGATTGGAGATTGAATCATTAGCAAAGCAGGCAGTGGGCCAGGTGTGTGGCAGTGATGTTACCATATACCTCATGTATTTGAGACTTGGTGTTCCAACGTTGACTCCCCTCCACACACGCATACACACCAAACATATACATAGCAAGGTCCTGGTCCTTGATTCTGCCCACTTTGTAATGGGGAGGGGGACGAAAAGCTAATAGGACAGCTAATAAGAATTTCCAGTTAAATTCGAACAACACTGGCAAGTATATAATGGGAGTCAGAATAGAGTGATGTCATGTGGTAGAGAATAATGGATGGAAATGATGAGGGAAATTTTTCATCATAGAGGGAAATCTATTTTGGATAAGGAGGTCAGTCACGAAGGGCCTCTTTGAGATACATTTGTTATGAGAGGAGCTGCAAACAGAGAGCAGATGGGGAGAGCAGTCCACGCAGAAGGAACAGCAGATGCAAAGGTTGAGGTGTGAACTGCAGAGCTGGAGATTTGACGGAGGAGGTGATGAGGGGAGTTGTGGAAGCAGGGTTTACAGGATCTCAGGGACTCGGAATTCTCATGACAGGGAGAGTTAGTCTGGGTGATTTGTAGAAGAATGGATTCAGTCCCACTAGGGTTTTTTGTTGATTTTGTTTATTTCCCTATCAGCTCTGAAGAGTGATAAAATAAGAATGTCGATTTGTTGATTTTTTCAGAGAACAAAACTATTACCACCAGAACTATAATACTCCTTTCTGTATAACTGATAAATGTTCCCTGGCTAGGCAAACATGTAACCAGCCAAATCTCCACCAGAAATTGGCTTCAGAGTGTAGTGTAGCGAATTTATAAATAATCTGAGCCAACCCTTGAGTTAACTAAAAGAATCCAGTCCTTGAACCTTGGCCAATTTACTGGCCCGATTGTCTTATAGAATCTAGGGTCTGGCTGCATGCTGGGTCACTGTACCTGACTTCCGTTGCCTCTTTTTCCCCGTGTTTCTGAGGCTTCCAGCTCATTTCCTCAAGCCAGATCTATGCTGCCTCCTTATGGTGATGTCACAAGTGTTGGCTCCATGTATTCCACTGAGTACCACCAGGTGTGGCCCAAAGGTGAAGGAGAGAAAGGAGGATGAAGCTGAAGAGCTAGTATAGCAGATGGGACACTTGTCTTGCATGTGGTGTACCTGGATTTGATCCCTGGTAACATGTATGGTCCCCTGAGCACAGAGCTCAGAGTAAACCCTGAGCACAGCCAGTGTGGCCCCAAAACCAAATAAATAATAATTTATTTGAAAAAGAAAGAAAAGGGGAAAATATGGTATGTTTAGTTTCAGGCAGGTATTGCTTGCCTGAAATTCAGGATGAGTTTATATTGCACACTGAAACCTCCTGCATCTCCCCACTCCGCCTGGACCCCCATTTCCTACTTATAGATGTAAAGTGCTACAGAGGAAGGGCAGGCAGGAGCATTACGGGAAGAGTTTGCTGTGGGATAATTACTGAAGCACATCCCAGAACCTCAGCAGAGAGGAAGGCCAGGGTCTGAACCAGTGTTGGAGGCTGGGAGGACACTATGGCCTCTTGAAGACAGCCTTTTCCCAAATATTTCTCTTCCTACCAGGTGGTTAGAAATCCATGAAGACCCAGGTGCTATTGCTTTCTCCTCCTTTTTCAGAGCAGCCCTGTTCTTCCCTAACTGGTCTTAGAATGATGTGTATCTTCGGACATAAGGATATAAGGGTTTTATAGCCTTCTGTGTGAAGTGTGTTTGCAGCACCTTTACTGAAACATTCAGCTGACTGACATCCTGGTTTATATCTAGGTGCTTGAAAGAAGACCCCGCCACCATGTCCCTGCTGCAGAGAAGCCTGGACCCCGAGAAGACCCTGGGTCTGGTTGACGTGCTCTACACAGCTGTGCTGGACCTCGGCCGCTGGCGGGCGGGGAGGTTGGTGTCTCTGCCATTGCCTAAAATTGATGTGTGGGTGGTTTGCATTTTGATCACAGCGAGGAACAGTGACCACTTATGGTTGCAAGTACACTTGAGTCATTGACAGCATTGGGGTAAATAATTCAAGAAAGAGAACTTATTTTGGAATCATTTCAGACTTAGAAGTTACTTGAGGGGCTGGAGCAATAGTACAATGGGTAGGGCATTTGTCTTGCATGTACCTGACTCAGGTTTGATCCCTGATATCCCATATGGTCCCCTGAGCACTGCCAGGAGTAATTCCAGAGTGAGTAACCCAAAAAAGCTTAAAAAAAAAGAACTACTTGGAAGAGTAGGTCAAAGAATCACTCTCTGGCTATTGCCCAAATTTCCCTGGTTTGTTTTATTATTTGAGAGTAAATCCATCAAAAGGTCATTAACCCAACTGATATTCTCTTCAAAACTAAGGACGGGAGCTGGAGAGATAGTACAGTGGGTCACTGTCACTGTCCTCCCATTGTTCATCGATTTGCTCGAGTGGGCCCAGTAACATTGTGAGACTTGTTACTGTGTTTTGGCATATCGAATACGTCATGAGTAGCTTGCCAGACTAGCTGTACGGGCGAGATACTCTCGGTAGCTTGCAAGGCTCTCCAAGAGATGCGGAGGAATCGAAGGCAGAGGAATCTTAACTCGGGTCAGTCGACCCAGCTGCGTGCAAGGCAAATGCCCTACCTGCCGTGCTATCACTCCAGCCCAGTACCAGTGGGTAGGGCACTTGATTTACATGTAGCTGACCCTGTTGCATCCCTGACATCTCATATGGTGCAGGAAGAACCCCTGAGCATTACTGTGTGTAGCCCAAAAACAAACAAACAAAAACTATGCACAGATATTTAGAAAATTACTTATGTCCCTTATGTGATTTACTTAAATTTGAAAGTAGTGACAGTTGCAAGATTATGTCTTTATGAATTGTTAGCTTTAGAAATTGTAGGCACCTTAATCAGTTATCAATATGCCCATTTCCTTTCTTAAACCGTGAGCACACAGAACAAAGGTGACAATCCTTATCATGCCAGCCAGCACCTGCCTCAGCTCCTGCCTCAGCCCCTTCCTGTCACCAGTACCCTCTTCCAGGACTGGTGAAAAAGTACTCAGAAAACTCTGAAAAAAGCCAGAGGAATAGTACAGGGGTGGAGTGCTTGCTGGTTGCCTTGCCTGCAGCCAACCTGAATTTAATCCCCAGCACCACATATGGTTCCCTGACCCTCCCCCATGAGTAACACTGAGCACAGAGCCAGTGGGGGCTGCTGGAGCAATAGTACAACTGATACGCACTTGCCTTGTACCTGGCTGACCCAGGTTTGATCCCTGAAACCCCATATGGCCCCCCAAGCCCCGCCAGGAGCTGGGGGGTGGGGGGGAAAGATGGAGGAAAGCAAACTGAAAGGTTCAACCCTCCGGGCATGGCCCCTACCATAAATAGGGAACATAGTGTTATACCTCTTGTGGTGTCCCCCACCCCTCTGTAGACTCTTCTTTTGTCCCACTGCTGGGTCTGCTGCTCCTAGTTTCCACTCTCCAGGCACAGATCGGTCTCCGCCAGTTCCAGACCCCCATCTGCTATCTCTCTGCTACTCAAGCTCTTTGGGCTAATGAAGTCTTCACAGCCCTGTCAGGCTCTGTAGATTTTGGTTTTGCTTTTAGGCCACACCTGCATGTGTTCAGGGCCTACTCCTGGCTCTGTGCTCATGGATCACTCCTGGAGAACTGTAGTACTCAGAAGAGCATATCCAGTATCATCAGTTCTGGGTTGGCCACATGCAAGGCAAGTGCCCCTGCCCCAACTCCTGTACTATGTCTCCAGCCCTTATAGATTTTTATCAACAAATACAGATAAGTGAAGAGATTATGTATACTTAAAACTCTTAGATGTTCGTTCATTTTACTGTAAAATCAGTGAATCAAATACTAACCAGAGGAGTCTTTTGTTCTTGCTAAAAATCTCACTTAAAGACAAAGATTTATTTTACTGTCCAATTTTTGTCTTTTTTTTCCAATTCATTTTTATTTAAACAGAGAACAAGCTTTGCCCTGCATACAGATCCAGCTCCAGAGGGAGATCTGTGATTTAGGGAATCAGAGCGACCTGCCTACTGGAAATGGAAACAAATCTTCAGGTGGCCTGCAGAGGACATTCTCCAAACTGACATCCCGACTCACTAAGAAAGCTTCATGCACCAGCTCTAGCAGCAGCACGAATTATTCCATACCAAACACCCCTTCCAAAAACATTTTCATCGCTGGGTGTTCTGAAGAAAAGGCCAAAATGCCCAGTAATATTGATACACGGTTGCAAGGCATTTTGAACATCGGGAATTTCCCTCGGACTACAGATCCTTCACAGTCAGCTCAGAATTCCAGTCATCAGATGGCCAACGGGTTCCTCATGGAGAGGCGTGAGAACTTCCTTCCAGGGGATGAAGGCAAGGATGAAAAGGGTATGAACTTACCAACTGATCAAGAAATGCAAGAGGTGATAGACTTTCTCTCAGGCTTTAACATGGGCCAGTCACATCAGGGCTCCCCCTTGGTGACGAGGCGCAATTCTTCTGCCACAGCCATGGTGACTGAGCAGAAGGCAGGAGCCCTGCAGCCACAGCATCCTCCACTGACAATGCCCCCTCCGCAGCGGCCACCCCAGACTGGGGCGCACACACCTCTGCCACCCCAGCCAGCACTGACCCCTCAGCAGCAGTCCCCAAAGCAGCAGCCCCAGGTTCAATACTACCAACACCTGCTGCAACCCATTGGCCCGCAGCAGGTCCCATCCCAGCCTCGGGCTCCTGGGAAATGGGTACATGGCTCCTCCCAGCAGCCATCCCAGCCTCTTGGAGTGGGTCTGTCTCCTCTCGGCCAGTGGCCTGGCATAGCGGACCTCAGTTCTGACTTGTACAGCTTGGGGCTGGTGAGCAGCTATATGGATAATGTGATGTCGGAGGTTTTGGGACAGAAACCTCAGGGACCGAGAAACAACACGTGGCCCAATCGTGACCAGAGTGACGGAGTCTTTGGGATGCTGGGAGAGATTCTGCCTTTTGATCCTGCAGGTATGTAAGCATGCACCCCAGTGACAACTGAGTACGTCCTTCCTGGAGCTGGTGTTCCACAGCCTTCCCGGGCAAGGGCCATGTCTCAGCCCTGCTTTACAGAGTCCTCCTTACTCTGGTGGGAAGTAATGCCAGGTGAGAATGCTCAGAAGGTAAGTGGGAATATTTTTCCTCGACTCATAAAGGACAGATGTGAAGCTAAGCAAAGGTATATATGAATGGCTCAAAGTTTCATAGTTCACATGGCCTTCAAAGTGAAGTATAAGTAGAGGAGCTGGAGAGATACTGTATATATAGACATTGTGTGTGTGTGTGTGTGTATTTATTTATTATAAAAAATAAAAGATTTTCAGGTGCCAGGGCAATAATACAGTGGTTAGGGTGTTTGCCTTACAAGTGGCTGACTCAGATTTGATCCTCAGCATCTCATATGGTCCCCGAGCACCTCCAGTAGTGATCCCTGAGCTCAGAGCCAAGAGTGAACTTTGTGTACTGCTAGGTTGGCTCCCCCTGAAAAAAACTGAAATACTGGAGTGGTAGTACAGCAGATAGGGCATTTGCCTTGTATGTGGTAGACCTGGGTTTGATTCCCAGCATCTCATATGGTCTCCCAATCAGGAGTAATTCCTGAGTACAGAGCCAGGAGTAACCCCTGAGCATTGCCAGGTATCACCAAAAACAAACAAACAAAAAAAATACTTTCACCTCCAGAGGACTGGGGATAGTGCAGTGGCAGAGTGCCTGGTTTGCAAGTGTGTGTCACAGGTTTGATCTCCAGTGCCACCACGTGGTAGAGTGCAATCTGGCAACTCTGCTTTTCTGGGACCCCAGTGCATTGCCTTGACAACCTGTGTACAACCCCTTAGTAAGTACCACACTTGTGTGTGATCCCTGGTCATGATCACAACAAAGGGAAGGAAAGAAATTGAAAAAAATGTTGTTTTATTTTGTTCTAGGGCTACACTGGGCATGCTCAGGGGTTACTCCTGGCTCTGCATCAAGGATTACTCCTAGGGGGCTCATATGGGATGCTAGTGATCAGTCCCAGGTCAGCTATGTGCAAGGCAGACGCTCTGTATTATTTCTCCAGTCCAAGGAAATATTTTTAAGTTTCTTTTTTGGGGGGAGGGGGTGGCAGTGGGCACACCTGGGAGTGCTCGGGAAACCATGTGGGATACCAGGAATCGAAACACAGTTGGCTGTATCAAGGCAAGTGCCTTGCCCACTATATTATTACTCCAGTACCCTCAGGCCCCAGGGAAAGATTTGTTGTTGTTGTTGTTGTTGTTGTTTGCTTTTTGGGTCACATCCAGCGATGCTCAGGGGTTACTCCTGGCTTTGCACTCAGGAGTTACTCCTGGCAGTGCTTGGGGGACCATATGGGATGCTGGGGATCGAACCCAGGTTGGCTGCGTGCAAAGAAAATGCCCTACCTGCTATACTATCAATCTGGCCTCCCAGGGAAAGGTGTTTTTTTTTTGGTTTTTTTTTTTTCTTTTTGGGTCACACCCAGCGGTGCACAGGGGTTACTCCTGGCTCTGCATTCAGGAATTACTCCTGGCAGTGCTCGGGGGACCATATGGGATGCTGGGAATCGGACCCAGGTTGGCCTCATGCAAGGCAAACGCCCTACCTGCTGTGCTATCACTCCAGCCCCCAGGGAAAGTATTTTGGTTGGGTTTTTTTTTTTTTCTTTTTGGGATCACACCCGGCAATGCTCAGGGGTTACTCCTGGCTTTGCTTTGCACTCAGGAATTACTCCTGGTGATGCTCAGGGGACCATATGAGATGCTGGGAATCGAACCAGGTCGGCCTCATACAAGGCAAATGCCCTACCCACTGTGCTATCACTCCAGCCCCCAGGGAAAGTATTTTTGGTTGTTTTCTTTTTTTCTTTTTGGGGTCACACCTGGCAATGCTCAGGGGTTACTCCTCGCTTTGCACTCAGGAATTAATCCTGGTGGTGCTCAGGGGACCATATGAGATGCTGGGAATCGAACCAGGGTCGGCCTCATACAAGGCAAATGCCCTACCCACTGTGCTATCACTCCAGCCCCCAGGGAAAGTATTTTTGGTTGTTTTCTTTTTTTCTTTTTGGGGTCACACCTGGCAATGCTCAGGGGTTACTCCTCGCTTTGCACTCAGGAATTAATCCCGGTGGTGCTCAGGGGACCATATGGGATGCTGGGAATCAAACCTGGGTCGGCTGCGTGCAGGGAAAATGCCCTACCCGTTGTGCTATCGCTCCAGCCCCTAAGGGAAATTTTTAAGTGAAAGTGTTTAATTATGTTTTTGTTGTTTGGGGTGGGATGCTCAGAGGTTATTCTTGGCTTTTAGCTCAAGAAAAATACATAGATACAGATATATTTCTCTATTATTAAAAAAAAAAAAGGCTTTCTGGCTCCTCAGTATCTATATCCTCAGTACGTATGGAAATATATGTGGTGCCAGGGGTTCAAGCAAGTCAGTCACATGCAAGGTAAGCTTCCTACCTTCTGTACTATCTCTGATACCCAAAATAATTGTTTTTATGTTTATTTTGTGCCATAGCCAGTGTTGCTTCGGGCTACTCTACAGGGGCTCCATGTTGGACTGGAGATTGAACCCAGGCTTCTAACATGCTAAACATGTGCTCAGCCCTTTAAAGCTGTCTCTCTGACAAAGGTTGGATCCCCAGCACTGTATATGGTCCCCTTGAGCCCCAATAGTGATCCCTGAGCACAGAGCCACAAGAAACCCTGAGCACCACTGTGTGTGGCTCTAAAACCTAAAAATAAACTTCTAGAAAGGATCTGGAGAAATAGTGCAGGGGTTAAGGTGCTTCCCTTGCATAACCAATCTGGTTTAATTAGCAGCTGCATATGGTCCCCAGGCACTGCCAGATGGAGCAAAAAAAAAAAAAAAAAAAGAAAACAAAAACTTCTGAAAATCGTGAGATTTCAGAAAATTTTGAGATTCCAAGCCACATGCTCTGGCCTGGCCTGGGTTCAGTACCCAGAATATCTGTTGGTTCTTGGAGCCCCACCAGGTGTGATTCTTCGGTGCGGAACCAGGAGAAAGGCCTTGAATGGGTATGGCCCCCTAAACAAACAGAGTGAATCTGGCAAGGTGTGCCTATGTAAGTAAGAGAGATATCTAGAGATGGGTTGTTTTTTCCCGCAAATTTAGCAAAAGGTACATCTAAGTGTAGGTACATTCCCATCACAAGGGGAGTCCTGTGAAGTGTTGTGAATAAGTGTAGCAAATAGTTACATCGATAAATGGGGTCAGGGAGAGAGCACAGTGGGCAAAGTGCTTGCCTTACACACAGCCAACTCAGATTTGATCCACAGCACCCCAAATGATCCCCTGAGCACTGCCAGGAACAATCCCTGAGCACAAAGCCCAAAGAGTAAGCCCTGAGCACAGCCAGGTTTGGGCCCAAATCCTGAAGGGGCGAACAATCACCACTGGGAGGTAAATATTCCCCAGCACCAACTTCCATATATTTCATTTTGGACCACATTAGATTGTGCTTGCAGGGCTACTCCGAGCTCAGTACTCAGGGCTCATTCCTGGTGACTCAGAGATGATGTGTGCCGGGGATAGAACGCAGGACTCAAGACTTGCAAAAAGGATGCTCTGTAGCCTTTTCATCCCTTTCCCAGGCCACAGAGTCAATTGGTAATGGAGGAAAAGGTCTTCTTGTGACTTCTGAGAATTCTTTCTAGGGCACTCATGTGCTTTTCCTTGCTCTTCATGGTGAGTGGATGAATGAGGGGCACAGGTAGGGCAAACAATCCTACCTTCTGAAAGAACAGACTCACCTGACTGCCACCACTGCCATATGCATAGCACCATTCTCCATTGGTGCTCAGAGTCTATAGTTTTTATTAGTCTTATAATGAAATTCAGAGTTTTAGCAGTGTTTGGCAGAATTTTGCTATCTTTGATTTTTTTTTGGCACCCAGACAATCATTCTCTATGGCTTTGGTTTTAAGGATCCTGCCAACTCTTCATTCTAAGGGTTCTGACTTTGATGCCTGTGGCATAGCTTCCTACAGACTCCACTGGAGGACTCTGTCTGTAAAACCCCTTTTTACATGTAAAGGAAGTACATAAAGGCAAGTGAGTCAGAGGGCCCCTCTTGGAGGCCAGTTGGAAGAGGCCCCCTCTAGCCATGCAGTCCTATGGCAGTGGTTGACAAACAAGCTCTGGTGTCCTTCCCGCTATGGAGTAAGGGGTGGTTTACTATCGCAGACCCCGAGACAGTGTTTACTCTTACTTTTACTGCCATCTCCAATGGTCTTCTGCTGCGTGCACTGCCCTCCCCAGCCTTACCATGCACTGTCCACTGTGTTTTCAGCTACCTCTGAGTATGTTCTGAAATGTTGTACTCCTGGACTCTCTTGCAATCATCAGACTGCATGAACAGATCTGTTCAATACCCAGGGTCACTGGTGGCCCTTGAGGAAGTGGCATCTGTTTTTTGTGTCTGCCTCTGTGCTCCCTTAGTTCTTCCCAGTTGTTCCTGCACACACTTCCAGGCAGACTCTGCCTGGAAGGCCACTGCATCACAGAGCCGGCAATTGCATGAAGCCGAGTCCTAGCAGTGCCTCGCCACTTCCCTTTTATCACATGTGACCAGCACAAATCTCAGAAGGAAAGGAATGAAACAAGAGGCCAAGCTGGCCCCAACCCAGAAATTCCTTTTTATCTTAACACAGTGGGTTCAGATCCAGAGTTTGCACGCTACGTTGCGGGAGTGAGCCAGGCAATGCAGCAGAAGAGACAAGTTCAGCATGGTCGCCGCCCAGGCAACCTCCGGGGCAATTGGCCTCCCATGGACGATGCCCATCGGACCTGGCCTTTCCCAGAGTTTTTCACAGAAGGGTAAGTGCTGGGTGTGACAGGAGGCTGGGTTTCGGGCGCGGGCATCCCCTTAGGGCCATTGTCTACCTGCTTCTCATCAGGCAGTTCAGTTCCCAGTTCCTATATGAGAGCAGTGTCACATGGCCACATCTTCAGGGAGTCAGTTGGTGACTGAAGAATGCTGAGTGGCCTGCTGTGTCCTTGAGGATAGATTGGTATAAATTGATGGTTTTAAAGATACTCTTCCTCTCTCTAAGCAAAGACTTTTTTTTTTACTTTTGTTGGTGTTTGGGCCACACCTAGCAGTATACAGGGGCTGCTCCTACCTCTGTCCTCATGGATAGCTCCCAGGAATGCTCAGAGACCATGGGAGACCATTCAGTACTGGGAATTGAACATGGTCTCCAGCATGCTGAACATGCACCCAACCTGCTGAGCTCACTTCCTGGTGTCCCCCTGGATTCTGTGAAACGGTGTTTGTGAAATAACAGGATCCAAAATACTGTCTACAAGCTGAGATGAAGATGGCTGTAGAACCCAGGTGACCGCTGTGACCTGGTGACCTGCAGGAAGCAAAGGGCCACTGGTGCAGGCACCAGTGTCATGAAGTAGTCTATGAATTTTTATCTCTAGCTGGGTTGAGTTTTTCTCACTTCTTACTGCTATACTACTACTACTACTACTATTTAAGATAAAGAGAAAACTTAAGAGCATCTCAGCTCTTTTCTGTGGATCCACACTTGGAAGTGCTGCAGGTGGAGGTTGCCCCTGGCATGCTCGGGGGACCGGGCAGGGCCAGGGATTGAATGTGGGCCTCCCTGCAAGCAGAACATGCTTGCATGCTTTCAGTCCGTTGTAACCCTTATTAGCTATGTTCTTCACCAAATAAAATTTCATGTTCAAACCATAGATTTCTGAAGAAGATAGATATTTGTATTTCTTCTGAGGAATGTGTATTACTTTTGTAATAAAGGAAAAGAAGTAGTGCTCAAATGCTTGTGAGAGATACGGGAGACCTTGGGTTGAATGACAAATGCAGTGTAAAAACCGCTTTTTGGGGGTGGCCTCAGGGCTGTCCCTTTGATGCCCAGGCTGGCTATAGCAGCCCTGGGACCTGCTTCTCTCTCTGACTTCCAGGGAGAGTCTGCACAGTGGCTGGTCGGGCACCCAGGGAGACTCAGCCAGCTCCAGTGATGAGACATCCTCTGCCAACGGGGACAGCTTATTCTCCATGTTTTCAGGACCCGACCTCGTAGCCGCTGTCAAGCAAAGAAGGTATGCAGAGATTTCTAAACCGAAGAAGACCGGTCGCACAAGTGTGAGCCCCTGGGGGAAGCGCAGGTGCACAGTCACTCTCAGTCGGGCTCCCATGAGGGACAGGGCCCTTTCCTACCCTCTTCCTGCAACCTCCTTGCTGCCTTCAAACTTGATGCCCAGAGGACTTACTATTAGATTGAACTTTTCCTGGCAAGGCCAGAAAGATGGTACAGCCTATAGGGCACTTGCCTTGCCTGCAGCTGTCCTAGGCTGGATCCTCAGATATCCCAAGCACCACCAGGAGTAATTTCTGAGCACAGAACCAAGAGTGAGCCCTGAGAGCACTACTGGCTGTGTCTCACCCAGACCCCCGCCTCCCCCCCAAAATACTAATAAACCCCCCAAACCAAAACAAGATTCTTGCTGAAGAAATGGTCTTATTCTAATGGAATTCAAAATGCCAGTGAGAAAGGCACAGGAGGGTTCTGGAGACAGGATCCTTGGCTGCTGCTCTGTACTGGGAGGAAACATCCCTTTTTGTGGGACAGGCAGTGCCAGGACTACCAGGTTCTGAGCAGAGCAGAGCAGAGGCCAGCTCTGCATCTCCAGAAGAGGGTGTGGCCCTCCGTGACCCAAAGATTTTTTGGCAAATAGAGAAGTGGCTAAAATCACCTCCGAATGAGGTGAAAAATGTGATGATAATGTGGGTGCAGATCTGAGATATTTGCAGAAGTGGTCCAAGAATTAAAATGGATCCTGACCTCAAAGAATTTGGTTAGAAGGAAGTGCAACACTCTGGTGGGCATGAGAAGCAGCTCCAGGAGGTGGCGGGAGGAGAGCCTCAGGGCCGGCCGCCTGGCTCAGCGCTGTCTGTGGGAAAGAAGCCCGGCTGCTCCCAGGCAGTGGGCGCCATTAGAGCACAGATTCCGAAAGTTATGGCCCCAGCACTCCCTTTTCGGGGGGGGGGGCTCTCTTCATCCCAGTGTTGTACCCAAGAGTATTACCACCCTCGCTCTTTTAAGCACTACACAGGGACTGTTCCATCCACGTCTGACTGACTGACTCTGTTGACAGAAAGGCAGAAGGGTACCAAGTCAAGGAGCACAGAGGCAGCGACAGGGATTGCTCATACCAGCTGGGTGCATTTTGCTAGCAGATCCGGATCCTAAGCCGCTCCTCCATGCGCTCTCTGATTTTCCCCTAGGGCTACCAAATAAAGACCGGGACTTAAGCAACACGATTTCTTTTCTTGAAGTTGGGAAGGCTAGAAGACTGAGGTCAGGGTGTCAACAGAGTCAGTCTGCAAAAAGCCGTCTTCCCCTGTAGCTGCACAGGGTCTGCCCTCCGTGTGCCTGTGTCTCAAGAGAGACCGGCTTTATTGAATAGAATCCATTGACATCATTCTGTCTTACTTTGTTGAATTGTTGCTGTGCCAGGAATTGAACCCATGGGCTCACATAAGTGAGGCATCTGTTCTGTGACAGCTTGTGTCTTAATTTTGTCTTAAGAGGGCACCAGCTTTATTGGATAGAGTTCATTGATATCATTGTATCTTTCTTGTTTTAAATTGTTGCTGTGCCAGGAATTGAACCCAAGACCTCATAAGTGAGGCATCTGTTCTGCCATGGAGTCATGGCATTTTGCCTTTAATTATTCCTTCTTTAAACATCTTATTTCTAAATCTAGTTACATTCCAAGATTCTGGGTGTTTGAATCAACATTAGGAATTGGTGGAAAAGGAAGGGCACAGTTCAGCCCATAACAACAACCACATAATGTAAATAATATTTTCTCCCCAGTTCACAGTTAAAGAAATAGAGGCCCAAAAATTAAACTTACTCTTTTCACATTGTAGCAGACACATTTTGTTCTTCCAGTTCCTCTGGAACTTAAATTCTACTCAAGGAATAACATTTTACACACATACTTTACATACACACATACACACACACACACACACACACACACACACACGCTGCCCCCCCAGCAGGTTAGATTGTTGGATTCGCTGCTATGGGCGTCAGGTTTCGGAGGAAAGGGGCCCAGTGGGGCACTAAGAAGGAGCAGAGACCAAGCATATAAGATTTCACTGTAGGAAGCCCCCAGAGGCTTTTTTTTTTATTAGTGAGACATCATGAGGTAGTTTTTTTGTTTTTTTTTTTTAATTTTTATTACCAGAAGCTCTTTTGCCCTCCCCCCCCCACCACCACCACCCATGAGACTGCTGCACATAGGAGCATGAAGAAGCTCTGCTCGGCTCTCATACTGCTAGCTTTTTTGCATTCCACATTTCCCACACATTTTTGCTCATGTGAGTAGTAATTAAGAACCTTTTGTGAGTTTGTTGATTTTTTTTTTCTTTTTTGGTTTGATTTTCGGATTTGGAGCCTGCACCTGGCAGTACTCAGCAGTTGCTCCCAGCTCTGCTCAGAAGTGACTCCCAGCATTATTTGGGGGGGCCCTGCAGAACTGGAGGTTGGATGCATGCACTCAGTCCACTGAGCCATCTCTCTGGCCTTGACTTTTGTTTTTATTTCTTTTTTTGTAAGGCACGTGCCTTACAGACATACTGTCTCTCCAGCTCCAGCCTTTGTTTTGAATTCACACCAGCACTGGTAGATTCCTAGTCCAGATAAAGCCATCAGCTCCTGTCTTCACATCTCTGCCTCCATCCCCATCCTGTCACAACTCAGGATGCACCATTCAGTATGGGTCCACACTACCTGCTACATGAAGTGAACCTTAAACCTAGAATTAGTAGCAAATACTGCAGAGCCAAGCAGGTGGGATGTCTCGGAGGAAGGTCGGGCAGCCAGTGGAACGACACCATGCAGATGCTGCAGTCCCCCGTGTGAGCTGCCACCAGTGACTGCAGCACCACTTCCTTCCTGGTTTCTCGGGAAACCAGGTCCTGCTGCATTGAGCTCTCTGTTCTTTCAGGAAGCACAGCAGTGGCGAGCAGGAGACCAGCACACTGCCCTCCCCACCTCTTCTTACCACAGAGGAAGACATGAACCAGGTACTGGGGGCCCTACACCAGCAAAGGGAGGCTGACCTCCTGGGGTAGAGATCCTGAGCAATAGCTCAAATCGTAAGTTCCAAGAAAGCCTCGAAACCCCTTGTTCTCCATGATTCTGTGGAAAGAATTTCGACATGTTAGCTCACTGGAGATTCTCTTCAATGGCACTGGCTGTATGTGGGCAGTGTCTGCTGTCTTGGGCAGTGAAGCTCCAGGACATGAGTATTATTTCAAGGAACTGTTGGTTATTGCTGCCTCAGGACTGTGGGGAGCGGGAAGGGCGCACCGTCACCCTTGGGAGGGGTGGATCTGGGGAGGTGGGGAAAAAGTTGAGATTGCCAGAAATCCACTAAGAACCCTCTTCTGTTTCTCAGGATAACAAAACCAAAACGTGGCCACCCAAGGCACCCTGGCAACACCCTTCCCCGCTGCCCAGCCCCAGCACACCCCTCTATGCAGTCGCCAGCCCGGGCAGCCAGTGGAACGACACCATGCAGATGTTACAGTCCCCCGTGTGGGCTGCCACCAGCGACTGCAGCGCCACCTCCTTCACCTACATGCAGACGCCCCCGCAGCCTCCACCCCCGCCAACACACAAGGCAGCACCCAAGGGCTTCAAGGCCTTCCCGGGAAAGGCTGAGCGTAGGCCTGCCTATTTGCCCCAGTACTGACCCAGGGCCTGCCTGCCCAGACCTTTTGGGGCCAGTGTTAACACACCAGAGCTGACACCAGCCTCCCAAAGGACCAGTGCATCCCTGTCCTGGGTAGGGATGCTCCGAACGGGGGTGGTTGGCAGCTCCACGCCTTTAAGGCCTGGCTTCTCAAACCTAGAAGGCATCCTTGGGGGACAGGCTTCTGACCCTCCTTAGGGGATGCTGTGGGTCTTCGAGCCAAGGAGGCACCTACAGTGATGCTGAAGCAGGTGACCCACAGCCCCACTCAGAAATGGGCTTTTCTGTGTGCAGTCCCACCGGGTGAGCAAAACTGACTGTTCTCTGTTCCCTGCCTCCTCCCCCACAGCACCAGTCATTGTACTGTATGGCTGGTTTCAGAGGTTTTGAGTTAAAACACCTCCTGCCTAAAATGGATTGAATATCTTAAGATGACAGATACAGTGGCTGGAAGTCTTCTCAACACTATATCAAGTGAACACAAAATGGGCGAAGCCTGGACTTTTGTGAGCAGAAGCAATCACCGATATTTCCCGAGCATAGGCTACCCCTCACCATCCAGCCTCACTCAGGGGGTGCCCCATTTGCCAGCTTTACAAGAACAGAATTGTAGAGCTGATGTCGGAGACATATTCCTGGTGGGGCACGGGATGAGCCAGTGGGCTGCAGTCCATGTCCTGGATGGAGCTGCACCTGCCACCCTCCAGGCCTGCCACACGTGGCCACAGGCATCCAAGCCGCCTCAAAACGTGGGCGGTGTGGTCAGGGATTACACAGACAGACCTGCACTTGAAACTACAGTAACATTTGTGAGCTGGCTCAAGACAAGAAAGCAGTTGCGATGCAGATAGGGATTAGTCCTTAAAAAAAAAAAAGACAAAAAAACACCTTGTTTTGAGTTAACATGTGCCATTAATTAACATCCTGTGGATTTAGGAATATCCCAACCAGTCCCAGCCGAGTGGATCCAGAAGAATTGAATGGTGCTTAAATTGAGAAATAATAATAGATATATCTATATAGAATAGGCATCCCACTGTACATTAATTGAGGTTACAAAAGTTCTTTATATAAAACTTATTTAAATTTTTCATATTTCATCTTTGAAAAAGTCTAATTGAGAAGAATCCATAATATTTTCTGGTATGAAAGTTTTACAGTATTAATATTTTTTTTATATTTTCTTAAATCATTAAACCATTTTAATATATGTTAACTACTAATAAATGGTTTATTCTTTCTAACTCCATATAAGCTTTTCCAGCAAAGATTGTAATAACACATTTATGTTCTCATTTTTCTACAGATATAAGTAAATTTATATTTAAAAATACCAAAAAGAATATGTATATGTATGTATATACATATATATATTTATATATACACACACACACACACTAATGATAGAGGACCCGTAGGGTGTCTGAGCCCAGCCATCTGAATCCTCAGTACTGTTGCCAGGTTGTTTCCAGGCCTCAGGTGTTGTCCTTTGTGCTGTGTGGGGATGCCATTGCTGCCTGACTGTGCGATCCTCTCACCCTGGGTTCTGAACATTCGCCTCACCATGTTTACAAGAGAACTGTTTTGTACATAGACGTTTTCAGGCACGTGCTTTGCACCGACCCTGCGTGGCTCTTGTCCGTGCTCGCTGTCACTGTGTGTGCACTAATTTCTTTGTTGCTGTTGTGTGTGACTGTTTTACTTGTAAAAAAAAAAAAGTTTTCTATTTCCCTCAGTAATGTGTCCACAGGTCCTGGTATTCCGAGTTTTCTGAACTGATGTACCTTTGTTTTAATAGTGCCTCCTCAAAGACCTAACCCTGGACCGAGGTCAGCCCTTGATACCCCAGTGCAGGTGACATTGACCTTGCTATTTGTCATTTTCCGGTCTGTTTTTCTCTATGAAGACATTTTGTAATTGCATCTCCCTGGGTTGTGAGACTGTGATGCTCTTTGTGTGGTCCCCTTGTAGGTGCTGTGTTCTCAGCACCACCTCGCTCTGAACACTGGTAATTCCAGGTGCTGCGCTTGGCAGAGCAATCTTGCCAAAGCGCGCGTGAGTGTGTGTGTGTGCACGTGTGTCTGAGTGTGTGTGTGTGTGTGTGTGTGTGTGTGTGTGTGTGTCCTTTGCATGGTCGGGCACGGCAGCCTTGCTCGGGCATCAGCAGGACGTTGTGTGTATAGTTAATGCTTCCAAACTGGAACTCTACATTTTGTATCTTTCTTTTAAAGCTCCTATAAGTAATATAACTATTGGCTTTATTAAAAAATACACATTTAATATCTTGTATCTCTGTTTAAAATGATCTGCTGCAGATACCATGTTAGAAACCCTGGTTGATTCATTCATTACTCTGAAAAGTTGGTCCCAAGGTAGTTCTTATGTCGGCCTGTCCTCTTAGTGTTAAACTTAGCGCTGAATTCTTAGCGCTGAATTCTTGGAGGAGGGCATGAGGAGCAGTGTTTGGGAAAATACAATGATCTGGGCTGAGAGAACAGAAAGTAGAAAACCTACCAAACCTCCTGTTGACTTCCTGAAAGCCAAGACTGGAAGAGGCATCTGCATGCAGAGCTCAGCTGGAAGGATGCAGGCTCTCATCAGCTCTCAACAGAACGTGTTCAGCCAGCACCCTTCACCAGCCAAGCACGGGCACTGAACTGCTCAGCCATCCTGCCCAAGGAGGAAATGGGGACCACAAAAGGGGTGAGGGGAGCTGAAATGGGGACCACAGAGGACGAGGGAGGAGTTGGAGCAGGCAGGGTGCTGGCCTTGCATGCAGCTGATCCAGACACCACATATATCCCCAGATCCCCTCCAGGAGTAATCCCTAAACCCTGACAGGTATAGGGGGGGAAAAAAAGAGGCTGGATTATTGGGGAATTTCAACTCATTTTAATTTAGATCACAGCTACACTTCACTGGAATTTTTTCCCCCCATAAACTTACAGAATAGTCTATGTGAAGAGTAAGGAAAAGACTTAAAGCATTGTCGTTAGACCAGGTATCCCAGACATCAACATCACTATGCCGAGCACCACTGAGTATTTCCCACCCTCCCATCTGCCCCCCCTCAAAAAAAAAAAACAGTGTACATGAACATTATCACCTACCAGTATCCATTCCGTCCAGGCTTTCAGCTGAGATACCCAGGAATTGTGCTTGGGGCAAAGGTCCAGAGTTTTCCAAGTACACCGCAGGACAAAGCTAATTATAGGAAGGTAAAGGTAAAGGTAAAGGCCCTCCCGTTGATCGTCGATTTGCTCGAGCGGGCCCAGTAACGTCTCCATTGGAGACTTTGTTGTTACTGTGTCTGGCATATCGAATACTCTCGGTAGCTTGCCGGGCTCTCCGAGAGGGGCGGAGGAATCGAACTCGGGTCGGCCATGTTGGCCGCTTGTAAGGCGAACACCCTACCCGCTGTGCTATCGCTCCAGCCAATTATAGGAAGACTACATAAATATTCTAAGATACACAGTAGAAAGTTTTTAAAATGCTATCTAAGGAAACAATGTTCCTGTTTAATAGAAGTACCCAGTACTGTTCACCAATTTGGGGGGGCCTGGGTGGGCGGGAAAGGGAGATTGGGCCACACCTATATTCAGGGAACTATATGTGGTACCTGAACTTGGCCACATGAAAGGTAAGCACCTTACCTCCTATTCTCTCTATCCAGCCTGTCTTGTGAGTTTTAGCCATGGTAGGGATAAAAGTATTGCCACACTAGGTGCATGCTAGCTGACGGCAGGCCGGGGAGAGGGGTGGTGGTCAAGCAGAACAGGTGTTCTACATGAACCCCAAGAGCTCCTTGGAAGTACTTGGCCCAACTGAGAAATCATGGTACTGAAGTCTCTGTACACTTTTCTCACTTCGGATCTCCTGGGAGAATGGTATGGCTGAGACTCATGCTGGCCATTAGAGAGACTGGCCCTCCATCTACCATGCAGTCGCTGTGACCTGTGGGGAACAAGGGAAAAAACAGCCAGTTCCTCAACTGCCAAAAAAAAAAAAATATATCCCACTTTTGTACAAGCACACGTGCCTATGAATCTAGCTGCCAGCAGTAACAGCTGAGATGCCCTCAGGGAGGCGTGGGCCTGGGCCGCTGTGGCTTATACCACTGTGTGGTTTATAAACTGTTGTGGCTTATCCTGGCTATGGCTTATTCTCCAACTGAGCGAGTGAGGAGGAAGAAATGTTTCTGGAACATCGTTTCTGTTCACAGTGTTGGTTGGTGGACCCTGCCCAGTGAGGCTCAGCAGTTACTCCCAGCTCTGCTTAGGGGTCATTTGTGGAGGTGCTCCAGAGACCCTGCGGTGCTGGACATTGGTACAAGCTTCCTGTGTACCAAACAAGTGCAGTGTTGAGCTCTCCTGACCCAGAAGTAAAATTTCCACCTCTGCACTTATTAATGTCAATGCACACAGGGGAAAGCCCTTGCTAGAAGTTAGGCCTGCAAAAGTTAACAATCTCTGCCCTTAAAAGTTGTCTTCAGGATGGGGCCAGGGGAGATAGTATAGCAGGTTTGAACCCCAGATCCACATATAGTTCTCTGAGCCCTGCCAAGAGTAAGCCCTAAGCACCGTTGGCCCCGGTCAAAGGGGGAAAGAATAACAGCATTCAAATTCTTGGCAGACACCCTAGAAGCCACTCCTGGGCCTTGTTCCTTGGCCCTTGTTATTACCAACCCTGTCCTCACCTAGCCCTGGCCTCAACTTCCCCTACCACTGCCACCGGCCCAGTGCCCACCTGCCTTTTGAGTGCTTGGCTGTTCCCTTTGAGGCTCATATCTACACCCAGAGACCAGAGCCTCTACCAACTTTGTCTTCCATTAAACTCTTAGCACTCCCCAGATTCCTGTATTTGTCACTCTCACTAGAATGTGAGGAGCAAGTGACAAAATGGGGGTAGGGAAATTATTAGGCAACTACTAGCAGAAAAATAGAACTAAACTTAAGATCAGTCACGTGTGGCACCAAAAATAATTGTTTTACAAACTGCAAGGAGAATTAGTCACCATGGGTAGTAGGACTGTATTCCCCTTGAACAAACACAGGTTTTTTTTATTGTAGAAACCCACACCTATTTGTGGTAAAGGCATTAAATATATATGACAGGGGCCGGCGCGATAGTACAGCGGGTAGAGCATTCTTGCACGCAGCCAACCTGGGTTCAATCCCAGTCATCCCACACGGTCCCCCAGCACCGACAGGTGTGATTTCTAAGTGCAGAACCAGGAGTAACCTCTGAACGTTGCTGGATGCAGCCCAAAGAACAAAAACAAAAATATTTAATTAAAATTAAAAGTATAGGGGCTGGAGCAATAGCACAGCGGTTAGGGCGTTTGCCTTGCACACGACCGGCCCGGGTTTGATTCCCAGCAGCCCATATGGTCCCCTGAGCACCGCCAGGAGTAATTCCTGAGTGCATGAACCAGGAGTAACCCCTGTGCATCGTCGGGGGTGACCCAAAAAAGCAAAAAAATAAAAAGTATATGTAACATTTAATATATATATTAATATATTTACTATTAAGTGTATTTCTGTATAACAATACATAAGTTTAATAATTAATTATGTATATTTATAATCAATGGTTTCGCAGGGAAAGCAGGCCCACACCCAGAACTAATCACGCTGCCCAGTGGCCGCGGCAGCGCCGGCCTCCGCACCACTCCGCCCTGGCCCTCCCCCGAGCATGCGCACACGCGCACACGCGTCCATTCGGGACGTGCCGCGGGAGCCGTGAGCAGGTTCCTCTCCGCGCTCCCGACGCGCCGCGGGGACGTGCGCGCGCGCGGCCGCCCCACCCTCCCGGCCGCGCCCTCCCCGCGCAGATCCCGCCTAGCCGGCGGTGGCGCACACGCGCACCGCCCCTCGTGCGCCACCGCCCCTCGGGAGTGGGGTGCCCTGAGGTGCTGGCGACCAGATTCCAGAGTTGCAGGAGGTGCGGTCTCCTGTACCTCGCACAGTCACCGTGATTCAGCATCCCCGATGGGCGCTCCTACCTGCGACTGTGGCTCAGAAATATCCTTGGGCAGATTGGACCCGCCCAGCAGACCCCAGAGTTGTCGCAGGTCCCCCATCCCCTTCTCTCCCGCTATTCCTCCACCTTTACGCCTCTGATTTCCGGATCCTGCAAAACTCCAGGTGAAGTCGCAGTTTCCCCCTTGCCAGCGAGAGAAAGACACGGTTCCCTCTCTCCAGATATTCCATCTCTTTCCCCATCAACCTGACACACGTTCCACCCCTAAGGTTCTGTCTCAGCATTCCGGGCGTTTCCCAGGATCATAAGCTCTGCCCTGAAGTCTAGGCTGAGGGGAAAACTAAGATAAAGGGCAATTAGGCCTGGCAGGTCTGTTTCACCTTGCCAGTGAAAAAGGAAGCCACAGTTTCCTCTTGCCACCTTCCTCCCACTGACCCGACACACATTTCATTCCCAAAGTCCTGCCCCAGCATTCCTAGAGATTTCCGGAACCAGGAAACTCTGACCTGGAACGTAGGCTGACGAGAAGACTAAGATAAGGGGCAAGAATGCCCAGAGAGATTTAGACCAGCTAGACATCGCTGTGGTTTTCCAGCTTCTTTTCTAAATACTTGCCAACCAATAAAGAAGGCAAAACCACCAGAAAACTCCCTTACCTTAACTTAGTCCTGTACTAAATTGCTCCCCTTTTGGAGGGCTTTGTTTCTTTTCTCTTCTACGTTCAAATAAACTTTTCTACTTTCCAACTCTGAGTCTGAGCATGTTTATTACTCTATTTTCATTCTTGAAAATACTGAAGAACCTGGGAATTGTGAACCCAGAGATCTGTCACCACTGTTTTTGCCTCACCTGCACCACAGACTCCATTAAGTCTTTTTTTTTTTTTCTTTTTGGGTCACACCTGGAGATGCTCAGGCTTATTCCTGGCTCATGCACTCAGGAATCACTCTTGGCGGTGCTCGGGGGACCATATGGGATGCTGGGAATTGGACCTGTATCAGCCATGTTGGCTGCGTGCAAGGCAAACACCCTACCGGCTGTGCTATCGCTCCAGCCCCAGACTCCATTAAGTCTTAAGTGAAGAACTCAAAACCAAAATGCCTCACCTGTAGAACTCTCAGTTGTCTTTGCTGTGTTAAGCCCCTAACATTTCTCTCATCCTCTTTTCTCGCCTTGTTGATTAAATCATTGACACTATTTTCCTAGAACAATGTATCGTAACCCTGTTAAAATGTAAACCAAATACAATCAAAACTGAGATTGTTCCCCTCCGGTTCCAACCCAGTTCTTAGGAAATGGCTGTGGTG